TATGTGGACATCTGTGTGTGTCAGTGTGTATGTTTATGTATGTGGACATCTGTGTGTGCCAGTGTGTATGTTTATGTATGTGGACATCTGTGTGTGCCAGTGTGTATGTTTAGGTATGTGGACATCTGTGTGTGTATGTTTAGATATGTGTACATCTGTGTACATCTGTGTGTGTCAGTGTGTATGTTTAGGTATGTGTGTATGTGTGCATCTGTGTGCCAGTGCGTATGTTTAGGTATGTGGACATCTGTGTGTGTCAGTGTGTATGTGTGCATCTGTGTGCCAGTGCGTATGTTTAGGTATGTGGACATCTGTGTGTATGTTTAGGTATGTGGACATCTGTGTGTATCGGAGTGTCAGTGTGTGAATCTGTGAGTGTTAATGTGTATCTGTGAGTATGTATCTGTGTGTGTACCACAGACAACGTCGTCCACTGCACTCAGGTTCCGCTTTTCACTCTGGTCCACAGCCTCAAAGGTGCTCTGGAATAGATAGACACTGCTAATCCGTCCAACAATACAAGGTAATAGAATATACAGGCAACACACCAGGTACCGAAGGTGTATTTATTCGAGGGTAGAACACCACATAAAAGTGCAACTTTTCAGCCCTAGAGGGACTTAAACATGATTAAGGCCCCCAAGGGCTGAAACGTGTTCTTCCCTCCAATAAATACACCTTCAGTACCTGGAGTTATGCCTGTATATTCTATTACCTTGTATCTGTGTATGTGAAGGTATGTGTGTCATTCTGTGTATGTGTAGGGATGTGTGTGTGCGGTTTCGCCAGTGTGCATGTGTAGGTATGTGTGTATCTATGTGCCAGTGTGTATGTGTGTGCCTGTGTAGGTATAGGTTTGTATCTGTGGGTGTGCCAGTGTATGTGTCTGTATCTGTTATTGTGTTTCCATATCACTGTGTGTGGCCGCATATGTGTACAGCCTCTATCCCCTAAACAAGAGTCCCCTATTCCTCCGCTGCAGCCTGTTTCACCCCGCTCTAGCCCACTTAAGTGCCCCTCCCGAGATTTGGTTCTGGATCCGCCCCTGCATGAACTATGTATTAACTTCAGTGTTAATGTTTGCAGTAAAGAAGAATTATTACTTGTGAACCCCAGAATACACAACCTGAGGCATGCATACTTTAATTTCTCCTTGTAAACATGGCTGAAGTTCAGGAAGAACAACTTTGGGCCATTCAAACATAAACAAAAGACTTAATTTCCTGTAAACGTTCCTGTAACCTTGAATCAGAGCATGCAAAAGTAGCAATTACCTTGGAATTTAGATTCAAAGGCTGAGGAGGAGTTTCTATTATTTGAGAAGATGCT